GTACGGTTGTCGCGCTTTAACTTCTCCTCGGATCTCCGGCTTCAAGCCCTCAATGAAGGTCCTCAATAGCTGTTTTTGAGACCAATCATGATTTTGATTAGATAACCTTTTAAACCTGGTTTGGAACCTGAATGGTGGAGGTTTGTCGGATCTTTGCTAGTTGTTCGTCAATATTCTCGTAATCGGTTGGTCTGAAGCGGATCAACAGTCATTCTTTGAATTGTTGCCATGAAAGGACTCCATAAGTATGTTCAAACTGTTCAAACCACTGTATAACATCCCCTTCAAGATGTGTATAGCTGCAATTTTCACCATAGATGCATTTGCGATTTTGTGGTACTGAAAATATCGCTCCGCGCGTGAGATCCAACCAATCGGGTCTCCTTTTTCCCATCTAGGGAAGTCCACTCTCATGCATGGATAGTTGGGGTCGGTCATAGAGCCTCCTCTCCCTTGGAAGTCATCTCTTCGGGCTTGGTGTGATTGGGCAAAGCTCTCTCCTTGAAATGATTTCTTTGGGCTTAATGGTCGGCCCAATCTGAGTTCGGTAAAGAGCATCCGAATCTTATCCTCCATTCGCGCCTCCAAGGCTTCGAATTTAGCATTAATTGCCTCCTTAGATGCCATAGTATATGCCCCCAAATCTATGATGTTAAGATCTCTCTTCTGTTGTTGGGTTAAAGGCATGTATAGGTTGAGAGAAGTGATGGTCGAAAGGGTTGGTCGATTGGTGGATGTAGGCTGCGGTTTAGGCTTGTTTTGTGGCCATTTTGGGTGCAGTTTGAGGGTGTGGTTTGGTGGAGTTTTAGGGATGTATATGAAAGTTTTGGATCTGTGGTAGATGGTAGCAAAGGTTTGATAGAAATAAGTGGAAGTTGCAGCAAGTATGTGCTGTCTTGTAAGAGTAGAATTGTCGTCGAAGAAACAACGGTTTCTCGACGTAATTTCCAACAAAAACTTGAGAGAATTGAGGAGAGAATTGATAGCAAAATCACAGTTTATATGACAGCAAGGATATCTAATTTAATCAAGAAAATTTCGGCAGTATAACAGCAAGGAAATTGGTGCAAGTTGCGCTTGCAGAATTCTCGTCGAGAAATTTCAGCGGGTTACGACGAAAATTTGCAGCAACACAAAATCGTTTTTTTGAGATGAATTTCTTAATAGATCAATCTTAGATGGAAGCCAAGATGATCTATAAAGTGTATAAGAAATTTCATTCAAAAAAGATTGCAAATAGATAGGTTAAGGCAACAATATGCAACTGAAATTTTCTGCAGCATAGATTTTCAAGTGCAGCAGATTGGACATAAAAGATTAATAGTTTATATTGAGAATTTTTCGATGAAACCAAAGGGAAATCCACTGTTATGAAGTGTCAAAGATGTCACAAAAATTTCGTAGAAATTTGGATAGAAAAAGCACAGTAGCAAGATCAAACAGATGGTGCTATGCAGCTTGAATTCTGCAATTCAAGTGCAGCAGATTGGACATAAAAGATCAGTAGTTTATATTGAGAATTTTTTGATGAAACCAAAGGGAAATATACTGTTAGGAAGTGTCAAAGATGTCATAAAAATTTCGTAGAAATTTGGATAGAAAAAGCATAGTAGCAAGATCAAACAGATGATGCTATGCGGTTGGAATTCTGCAATGTATCTTTCGTCGTAGAGATGAAAACTTTGTGACGAAAAGTTTATGCAGCAATATAGGAATTTTTTTTTTTTGGATTTTCGAATAAGGATAACTAAATTGCAGCAGCAGTAAGGTAGGAAACCAGAACCTGTTGCAATTCACGAGGAGATCAAAGGATGATCCGCGGTGGTGGAGATGATGGCGGAATTCGGTGACGATCTTTTAAGCAATTGTGGAAATTGCTTTAGATGGTTGTGGAGGGTTGATGGATGGCTGTGGAAGGGCAGCGAGACGCCAAGAACGCTGCTCTGATACCAGGTGTTAGAACCCTTGCAGATTCTAAACTTGGGGTTGATCTCTTTAGGGGATCGGCCTCCTTGGAACTCTATAGGGGTTCCTCCCTCCAAGTTGCTGCTCAAAGGCTGCAGAAAAGATTCATCTATTGTTTATGAAAAGAGGAGGAATACATGACTATTTATAGGGCTTCTAAACCCTAACTCCTAATAGGACTCCTACTCAAGACTCCTACTTCTAACCAACTCCTAATAGGACTCCTACTTAAGACTCATATTCCTTTACAACTCCTAATTCTTAAGACTCCTATTCCTTTACAACTCCTAATTCTTCCCTAAGAAACAACCTCCTAACCCTAGCCGGCCTCTTTACCTCTTTAATAGGGGTCGGCTTAGGTTGGTTTTACATGAATGTCCCTCTCAATTAGGACTCTCCTAGCTAGAGTCCTAACACACATACACCAAGATTAAGATTGACTTATTAAGAGTCTAATGAGTGTATTACTATCAACTTCAGTTTAAGCATTTTGATCAATGATTTGGGCCAAACAAAGTTAATAGGCTAGTTAACTCATCAAGCCTGGGTCGTGACATTTAGTATTTTAACAATTGAACTGAAGATACAAGTATATACAGGAACATATATTCTACATTATTCAAAAAAATGGTGTTGGCCTAAAAAAATAAAAAACATACTTCTAAAATCATAGAAAAAATAAAATATTTTGAAAGCAAGGTTTTATTGCCATGTGATAACCTATTTAAACTTTTCTCCAACTTTGATCCTACAACAAGAAATAGTACACTTATTTATATGAAAATTCGTGAAGAAAAACTCATACAACATTATCTATGATCTCATTTGAAATTGTTGTAACAAGAAATTAGAATAAGATTTTAGAGATTTACTATGATTTCCTCTGCATCACGAAGGCATGTCCATGAATACATATATCATCTGAAACTTAAACAAAAGCAAAAAACCAAAGTCCAAATCCTCTTTAAAACTTCAATTTTACCCTCAAAATAAGTACAAAATGCAGCAGACTCATCCCAATTCACTTCTCCCTGCTCCCTCTCTTCCTCTCACTGCCCTCCTCTCTTTCTGTGTTTCCTTCAAGGACTGCAATGCATAGGAATTCCACCCCATCCACCTCTTCCTCTCCACTCTCCCCTTTTCCTCCCTCCCTTATGTAATGAAGATCTTTGGCAAGCCAGGCACCTGAGATTCACCCTCCTATCTGGACTCTGATGGAGGCATTGGTTTAAATCATCATTGTCAAAGTTAGTTCTTTATCATAACATTTTTATAACTGAGAACTTGTAATACAAAGAACTCATAGCATATTAGGATAAGAATCTTTTACATGTTTGTTGCTAATTTCAGCTTTTGAAATACCTAGGAAATTGTTGATTTCTTTATTCTACATGTTTAATCAATAAAAAAAACTGTCAAAAAGAGGTCAGGTTCTTTGGATTCAGAAATCCATTTCAACCAAAAATCTGGTGTCTTCCTTTGTCGATCATCAGTTTTTTTTTTTTTGCCCCTTCTATCTATTCTAAGTGAGTAGATGGGATATAAGCTCTAATGCTATATATTTCAGGATCACTAAAAACCTCACATAATCAATAAACACGAAAGATTCCACTTTAGTGTAATATTTAATGGGCTAATTACGTATTACCCCCATGTAGTTAGACCTATTTAACATCCAAGTTCCTAGACTAAAAAAATTTACATTAAAACCTTTATGGTTATGAAAATCCATTTACTATAATACCGTCGGTTTTACTAATGGAAGCACAAAAATAATGGGTAAAAATATAATTTTACGTTTCATTTGGTGATGACAGATGACGTTAGTGGTGACAGACAACGGCGCCGCTGGAGCCGCTGGTGACTATTGTGTATGGGGAGGGTGAGCGACAGCGAAAGATGAGGCAAAGAGAGAGGAGGAAAAGGAGGATGCAGATGTCGATGCTCTGCATCTGCGTTAGCATCGCTATGCATCTGCGTCAGCACCGACGTAGATGCAGAGCGAAGAAAGAGCCGCTTAGCATATGCATCAGCACCAAATGTAAAGCGTTGATATTTGCATCTTCCTCTTCTTCCTCTCCCTTTGTCTCACATTTCATCGTCGCTCTTACTCCTTATCCATAAGGACCACCCATGGCCCTCAACGATGTCATCGTTCGCTACCATCAAAAACATAACTTGAATGTTGAAATTACCTTTTAATCTAGTGTTTTCATACTTTCCTCGAAAAGATCGACAACGTTACGATAAATAAAGCTAGATAATTCACTTTCATACGCTAGATAAAGCTAGATATTAAAGAGATCTAAGTATAATTAGCCGACATTCGTTGAAAGCAGTAAGAATAAAATGATGGCAGATGTACAAAGTATATGGAGGGAGAGGCTCACATTGCATCCTTCACATGACCTGCCTCTCGGCGGCCTCGGCGACGATAGGCAGCCGAGGGACCTGTCCCAGGAGGCACGCAGAGGACCCGTAGATGAGCGACAGGAGCAGGAACAGGAAGACAGTGCTGTCGAGGCTCTGGAGGAGGTCCAACCCGATGCCCTCACTCGGGTTGAAAGATCGCTCGAGGAGGTCGGGGAAGATGAGGAGGACATCGAGGACGATGGCCTGCATGGTGTTGAAGCGGACGTAACGGCTAAACCTGGAGGGGTTGCGGACGACGGCGAAATAGAGGGTGAGGAAGAGTAGGAAGGGGGTGAAGGGGGAGGAGCGGAAGAGGCGAATGGCCGGGACAAGGGGCTGGAGGAGGACCTGGAACGCCGGGAACTGGGCCACCACGAAGCGCCCGTAGTGGACGCCGTCAAGGAAGGGGTACAGGTAGCAGACGGCGGCGAGAAGGCGGTCCGGGGGGTCGGCGGCGTCGCCGTTCTTGGAGGCGCGAACAGGGTAGGAGTCAAAACGTCGCCACTGCCGACGGCGTGAGGGACCAGGAAGGCGAAGTCCGACGAGCTGCTGCAGATGCTGGTGGCGGTGGTGGTGGTGGAGGTGGAGAGGCGGGGGTTTAGGGAGGAAGAAGAGAACAGAAGCAGCAGCCATTGATTGGTTTCCTCTCCTCCCCTTGATTTGTGTGTGGTTTGTTGAACCAGAGAAAAGGGGATAACAGATTTGGTGGTGACTAGACCGGGCTGGTCCGGCCCAATTATGAATCGGTCTTTGGTGGGCCGGACCGATCCAGTCCCTTGTCGGTGCCCCGGTTTGGTGGACCGTTCCTTTCCGGTTTTAGGATTGACCGTACGTCAGACTTGGAGATTCGGGAGAGTCGTTACCGGATCACGCTAACCACACATGACGCTTGGAGATTCGGGATTGACTTGAGAGTTTTGATAGATCATATGCGCGAGTAGTTTTGATACGTCGGATATGATATTTCATCACTCTTTTGAAGGAGTTTGCATCAAAAAAATATTCATTGTTGTTGAGACAATCAAAGAGTCAAACCGAAGAGAGATGAGTTCGCTAATGCAGGTGCTATTTTGGATTTATTGTCTTCTTCGTATTCAACAAACAATTTCTCATGACTGAGTAATTAAAAGCTTTCTAACAAAATCATGCATGAAGACAAGAGGGGAGTCGTTGATACTTGGGATTTGGCACTCCACTTGAAATCTATAATTAGCGCGTTATAATTATATAAAGTATGTCAATAAGAACTATATACTTTATATATCAATAAAAACAACCGAGCGAGACATATCTTGTGTCGGTATATTTATACCCCTCTAAAATAAATAATTTATATATTTAGTTGTAAAATCTAAATATTCATGTATATGATCGTCGTTAATCTTCGTCAAGTAATTGTTATTTGACTATTAGAGAGAGAGAGAG